CCCCCCCCCCCCCCCCCCGCGTTTAGTCTCACACGACCGTCTCTGACCGAGCTGGCGGTTTTAGATTCCGAGTCGGGAGGTAGAGCTTAGTAACCTGCTGGAACGCCAGGGCTGGTCGGTAGCCGGTGTCCAGGGGCCAGGCCCCCTGAGGCGGGCACCGGTGTGGCACACGGGCCCCACGCCCTCGGGAAGGAGGACCCGAGTTACTGCATGACTGGTGGAGGCAGGAGAGCTGTAGTATCTGCTCTTTGAAGGAGCTGTTTCTGCACTCAACAGACCTGGGGTGGGGGTGCGCCCTTGGTTTATCCCCCCTGTTCTAGTCAGCCGCCTGCCAGGTGCTGGGACCTCGATGGTGGCCAAGAAATCCGGAGGGCTGGGTGGGTAGGTGGGTGAGAGGCGTGCTGGGGAAGGGAACCTATGACTTAGGGCCATGGTGAGGTCTCAGAAGATTCCAGAAAGAGAGCACTGCTGGAGGGTGGTCTCCTGCCGGAGGGTGGAGGGGGGCCAGGCCTGCGCCGTAGCTCCCTGGACGTCTGTAATCAGGCGGTGGGAGGTGGGTGCCCCGGGCACTTGGGTGAAGACTGAGTTCCCAGCACAGACGTGGTGTGGGCATCTCCAGAGCTGGGTCTGCTCAGTGGCCGGTGAGGGTGTGCCTGCGTGTGCCCGTGGAATCCGAGGGAGCGTGTCGGGAGTGACATGTGTGACTGCCCTGCTTTTCCACTGCCCTGGAGTGCCGAGGCGAACGGGGTGTTCTTTGTGACTTTCAGTAGTTTTTTAACTAGGGAATTAGATCGGAGTGGCCACAAGGCATTCTGCTTACTGTGGGTTCAGCGGGAAGCCACCTTTCACTTGCTGTAGGTCACAGTGATTACCGTCACGTGGACTCGCCCCGGTGCCCCGTGGGTGGTGGCGGCAGCAGCTCCTTCCCGTGGGAGGAGCGATGTGCCGGGAGGGTTTTCCACTCGGGCACCCTGGGGTCTCATTTGCCATTCTTTGCACAGGGGCACTGTTGGGGTGCTGAGGCCCCCCTTTCCACAGACCATGAGTTGCTTACCGCCCGTCGCCCTGTGGGGACGTGGCTCTGGTGTTGACTTCTCTGGTCCTCCTGCGAAGGTCGTAGGGGTCTTCGGAGAAACAGCCGGCAGGGGGTCTGCAGCTGTGGGGAAGGGTATTTTCTGAGGGGTGGGCTCACATGGTTGTGGAAGCTGGGGGGTCCTGGGACCCGTGTCTTCAAGTTGGAGTTGGGGAAAGCTTCTGGAATTCTCCATGTTGGAGGACCCGGGAACAAGGAGCCCATGTCTGAGGGCAGGAGAAAGTGGGTGTCTCAGCCTCCGGGAAAAGAGTAAATTTGCTGTTCCTCAGCCTGTTTTGTTCCGTGGGGGCCCCTGTGTGGGCGGGGTGCTGCCCAGTGGCCATGGGGGGGCGGATGGGCTTCTCTGTCGAGCCCATTCACATGCCAATCTCTGGAACACCCACCCGACACACACCCAGAAATGTCTACTGGCTGCCTGGGCACCCTGAACCACGTCAAGGTGACACACGAGTCAACCACGACAGGCGTGCACAGTCCACGCACACGTCACAGCAGTCCCATGTGTCCCTCTGTGTGCTGGGCGGCCTGGAGACATCAGGGACCCAGGGTGCTCTGAAGGTCTTCAGAGCAAAACTCGTCACCTTCCAGAAGGCTCCATGGGCCTGCAGAGCCCACCTTGTGTGGGGGCTAAGACTCCACCCGCGAGTCTCCTCTGTACACCCGAGGGAGGTGATCCTGAAAACCAGCTCCTTAAAGGACACAGAGCAGCTCAGCTGTGGCCTGCGCAGGTCCATGAGGGTGGGAGCCCACCCTGACCACGCCTTACGGAGGGCACAGGGTTGTGGGGACACGGTTCCTCTCCCGCCCATCTCCTGCTGAGAATCCGGGTGTTTGAAACTGGTTGTAAAGGCTCCAGTGTGTATACAAGTGGTGCATGTTATTCGTATGTTCAGACGGTCCTCAACTCACAAGGGTTCGGCTTAGGGTTTTCCACTCTAACTTGTGCCCCAGGATCTGCGTTTGGTGAGTATGGTGCTTGGAGTTCCCACGCAGGGTCATCCTGAGGCCGGGCAGCCACGCGGTCCCCACACACTGACCACCGTTCTGTGCCCACATGGTCTGTTTGTCACTTCAGTACGGTGTTCGGTCAACTCCCCGGGATGTTCACCATCTCTGGTGAAGCAGGCTTCGTGGGCGGCGGTTCGGCCCATCCACGGGCTAATGGAGGTGTTACGGAATTTCAAGAAAGGCCAGGGAGTTTTGATAGGATATTTTTCACGTCAAATGGGCTTCTTGGGACGGAAACTGCATCATAAGTTGAGGAAAACGTGTACCACGCCCATCACCTCCTCTGCTGAGACAGGAAGGTGACCAGTGCTTCTGTCTAAATGAATTTCCCACCGGTTTCTCAGGTGAAACGGATGACATAGGTGCCCCCTGTCACTGTGCAGAGTAGGCACGGCATCTGATGAAGGGATCGCTGTGCTGGGGGCTGGCCAGGGGCCGCCCTCCGGCCTGTGCGACACGTGCAGCAAGCGCGTACTGTTTCTTTACGTTCACAGGACAGGTCTGGTCACAGCTGCTAGCGTGTGCTCTTGGGTGCGTAGTCCGCGGCCTCACCTGACACGTTAGGAGGGCACGCGCAGCCGGGACGTGGGTTAGCGTCCTAACAGAAAGACCTTTTCCTCAAAGGGAGCGATAGGAGCAGTCTTCTCGTCCTCGGTAAATAGGTAAATAGGCTCAGCGGGGGGTTCCTAGCGGGCGGGCGCGCACAGCACCGGGCCCAGGAAGCAGGAGGCCGTTTGTGCCGGTGTGCGGTTCTCTGTGCCCCGGGACCGAGAAGCAGCACCCCCACCGTCCTCGCCGGCCGTGCAGGACGATCCGTGTTTGTTCGGGGTGAGGACGGGCGGGCCTTGCCCAGCGCAGGCGCGCTCAGGAAGACCGTCCGGCCCCATGTCTCCGCTCGTGCTGGAAGTCGGCCCAGTTCTGGCCGCGGCGGGGCCTGGAGGGCTCGCCTCCCTGGCTCACACTGGCCTGTGGTCCCGACGCCACAGCGTGGATGAGGTTTACGGTGTGTTTCTTGCGGCTTAGTTCACGTGAGTCCAGCTCTAAAAGACTTCACAGATAGAAAAACAACAACTCATGAAGAAGTCCCTGTACCCGACCCTCCTGCTCCCTGTGGCCCCTCAGCTAAGATTGCTAAGTACATCTTTGCTCGTAAACGTTTCCAGCAAGGACTTGAGGGGCGCCTGGGTGGCTCAGTCGATTGAACGTCCTGCTTGATTTCAGCTCCCTCGTGATCCCAGGGTCGTGAGTTCGAGCCCTGCGTCGGGCTCCACGCTGAGCATGGAGCTGGCTTGGAGTTCTCTCTCCCTCTTCTCCCTTACGTGTGTGCTTTGCTCTCTCTAAAAGAAAGAAAAAAGGCCTTGGGTGGGTGTGGCAGGCCGTGGTGCGGATTTTCACAGTGGCTCCCTGCCTGCCTGTTTAGAAAAACTGCTAAAGCTGCAGAAACGTTGAGGGAGTGAGTAGTACCGTGGACCCCTGAGTGCCTTTCTGTCGTCAGCCGCTCGCTCCCCGTCTGCTTGTCCTGCTTTAACCAGACCGCCCGGCCGCCCCTGGCTCCGTGGCCCTTCGCCCCTCGTCCTCCGGGCCGGGCCTCCTGCGCATCCTGGGAATGTAAGGGTCAAGACCGGACAGTTAGCGTTGACGGGACCCTTGAGTACTAGGTGTAACGTAGGGTGTATGTACACGGCGTACCTGCCATCCCAGTGACGCCCTTCTGTCCCCTGCCCGGGACCGTGCGGGACATTCGGCCACGATGTCTCCCCGCCCACCCAGAACTGCTCCCCAGCCTGTTCTCAGAAAACAGCTCTCGTAAAAGGACCCTCAGTTGGTCTGGCCTGGTCTCCTCTACTTGGATTGCAGTGCATTTGACAGACTCCACCGCACACGGCTGTGTCCTTCCCCTGCGCCCCCAGGGGACACCTGCTGTCACTTTGTCCCGTTGTCCCGTCATTGTACTGGTGATACTTTGGGCACTTGTAAGGTGCCATTTTCTCTTCATAAGCGATTAAACTGGGGAGGTGCTTGGAGACCGGGTGTCTTGTCACTTCACAAGCGGGCACGGTGGTCTTGGTGCCCAGCTTTGCCGTGGTGGCTGCCAAGCGACAGGCCTGCAAGCCCATGGGTTCTGCTTTTGCTCGTCGGCCTTCCCTGTACTTATTCCACGTCCACGTGAGATCCTGGGGCGGCGAGAGGCTGGAGCGCATGACTGTCAATCACTTTGATTTTAAATCATCCCAGTTTGACAAGGAGGACCCCTCCCTCCCCCTTCAGGCTGGCCTCTGGGTCCTTTTGCCGTTTACCCCTAACTTGGTGCCACTTTGTGATGTCACAGGCTGTCCGAGGCTGACTCTGTCCCTTCTCTACCCCAGTTCTGGGACCGGCTGTTTTTCCAAGGAGCCCTGGCCCCTTTCCTGGGGAACAGTGTCTAGACACTGAGGCCCCCCACTGCCTGGGCCCTGCGGTGGACAGAGCGAGGGCTTGGGCGTGGTGGCCGAGTGCACCGCCTGGGGCCCTGGCCCCCTCTCCTGGTGGGCCCTGTCCCCCTGTGCCCCCTGCGACCCTGCCTCTGAGTGGTGCTGGCAGAGATGGGGGTGTTTTGTGACTTGTCCATCTCTTTACCTCCCTGAAGCTAAATTACCTTGTTCTTTTTCTTTTAATTTTTAAATTGTTTTTTAAATTTTTTTTTTTTAATTTAATATTGAGACAGAGAAAAACAGAGCGTGAGCAGGGGAGAGTCAGAGAGAGAAGGAGACACAGAATCTGAAGCAGGTTCCAGGCTCTGAACTGTCAGCACAGAGCCCGACGCGGGGCTCGAACTCACAGACCATGAGATCGTGACCTGAGCTGAAGTCGGTTGCTTAACTGACTGAGCCCCCCAGGTGCCCCTTAAGTTATTTTTTATTTGATAGCACATGTGAGAGAGGGAGAGAGAGAATCCCAAGCAGGATCCACACTCAGCACCCCTGACACAAGGCTCAATCCCCTGACCCTGAGCTGAAATCACAAGTCAGATGCTCCACAGACCGAGCCTCCCAGATGCCCCTGAGCAGAGTGGCCTGAGCTGGGCCTGGGCGTGGAGCTGACAGCGCGTCCGCAGTAGTGCCGTGGGACAACCCGCGACGGGTGAGCTTCCCTTTTAAAGACAGCAGGAGGCATCCAGGACGTGCAGGGCAGCAGAGTCCGGCTTCACAGGCCGTCCCCACGCGCCTCAGTCCCACCTAGCAGACGCAGTGAGCGTGGGTGACTGGCAGCCAGAGCCCTTCCCCCGCATCGTGATACGAGAGTGCTCACGCGGGGCGGGGGGCGCTCCCTGGCCCGCCTGCACGTGGGTGCTTGCAGTTCACGCCCGGGTGCGCCTGGAGCCTCCGGTGAGCTGCGTGGAGTCGCCACACACATCCTACACTTGCCCAGTGCGTCGCCCCGTCCTGCTCCAGGACGTGCCCCTCTCTCCGCGAGGTTCGGGCCACCGCTGCCCCCTTCCCATGGCAGATGGGCTCCCCGGTTCCAGAACTGCGCACCTGCGGAACCCGGCGGGTGGTCTTTCCCGTCTGGTTTCTGCTGGTCCGTGCGAGGTGGTTAAGACTCTGTGTGCCGCGTGCACAGCGCACTTGTTGAGTCTCCTGTTTGAGGCTCCCGGGCCTGGGTTCTCAGTGTTGAGGAGATGCCTGAGCGCGCTGGCCCAGCTGGAGGGTAGGTGGCACCGGAGGGTTGCGCCCTTGGGTGCTTCACGCCATGCGGGACGGTCCCCCAGGGCCCCTGCCGCCGGCATTTAGCCTCAGCAGCTGCCGTCATCTCGGTCACTCTGGCAGGTAAAGCGGTCGCCCCCTACGACTATAGCCTGCACTTCCTGGTGACCTGTGAGGTGCACAGAAGTCTTCCAAGTAAGCGTGTGTGTCTTCGGCCGAGGGGCGGGTCAGCTTGACAGGTGTGGACGTTTCTCACCCAAACGCGGGTTCTGATCGCCCGAGTTCCAGAGCTGTCAGCGGTGTGGGGCGTGAGCCCTCCCTGCTGTGGAGAGCGGCTGGGGCCGCGGGCGCCCTGAGGGACTGGAACCGGCTGATTCGGGGGGCCTCTCCCTGAGGTGTGCGTACCCTGGCTGGGGCCTCAGTCCCACGGGCCTGGCATTGCTGTGACCTGTGGTTCCAGAGAGGCTGTGCTGGTGGGTCGGCGGGCCTGGGCCGGTTGGGTGCGTGCCACCTCTCCCCTGGGGGGCTCCTCTACCCTGAAGGCGCCGCCTTTGTGCCCCGGGGCCTCTTGCAGGTGGGCCCGTGGGGCTGTGCGTGTGTCCTCCCTGGTGCCCCGCCTGCAGCCCGGCCCGGGAACTGCCGCCACTCTACCCTGGGGGCTGGGGGCCCAGGGAGGCTGTTGGTTGTGTGGTTCAGCGAGGACCCTGGGCCCCGCCCCGGCCTCCTGGGCAGGTGTCCACAGTGCACGGTCCTCACCGCCCGCTTGTCCTTCCCTGCAGCTTGTTCTCAGAACACGAACAGGACCTGTGAGGAGTGCCTGAAGAACGTCTCTGTAAGTAGACACCGCTGTCTCCGCGCCGGCATGGGGGCCTCGTGGGCGTGACAGCCCCCGCCGTCGGGTGTGCGGAGGGGTCTTTGTAACGGGAGTAATAACCCGTCTCGCGACCACTGAGACCCCACCTGAGCGTCGTCAGCGGGCGTGCTTGCCTGCTGACGCACGTGTCTGCAGTGTGACTCCGCTGGGCCCGTGGCTGGGAACACGTGTGAGCCGGGCGGCAGCGTTGGGCCTCCCTGAGGCTGGTGGGCTTGGTGTTGGGGGGACGGAGGGCAAGGGGAGCAGAGAAGGGTGGGCCCCGGGCTGGGCGTCACTTAGCATCCAGTCTGCAGCTGTGCACCTGTGGCTGGTGCTTTCACGTTGGTGTCACTAGAGCGTACAGGTCTCTAAGGGAGGGACAGGGACCGGGACTTTGTTTTGCACGTGGAACCCCAAGATGGGGCCCGGAGCGCCCTGGGAGTGCCCAGAGGCCCCGCCTGCCGCAGCGCCCGGTCAGGGCTGAGGAGCCCGTTTCCCTGCTGGCCCGCCCACGGGAGCGAGGATGTCCCCTCACCGCGAGCCATGGTCCTGAGGCTCTGTGTCCTGCCTTCTCTATCAGTGTCCTGGGCTGGGGTAGACGCTCCTCCCTCGGCTCCTCACGTGGGAACGGGGAGCGATGTGGGCCCTCAGCCCGGAGGGCCTCGAGCTCTGGGCTCAGACTGACCAGCTCACCAGAATCACAGGGAAGACGCGCAGCCAGATGTTCCCGTGCCGGCCCTGCGCGACCTTGAGCAGGCCCGCTGCTCCTGGAGGTCATCTCCACGCGGGCTGTGCTGGGATCTGACACACAGGCACGTGTGCGGCTGAGCGTCGGGGACCAGCAGAGGGGAATGCTGGAGAAAGTTCCCCACCGTGCGGGCCGGCAGGAGGGTGGTGGGGGAGGCTGGCAGTAGTGCTGCCGCTCGCTGTGTCGGGGTCCCTCTGTCCCCCGCGTGCCGGCCCAGTTCCGGAGCAGCCTCTGGGCTTTGATGCCTTCATCTGGGACTGTAGGGGAAGCTCCCTCCGGTCAGGTTTTATGAGGGTATTTTAGAGCCACGCAGCCCGTCCCCCCTTCCCTGGCAGCGGGGAACCCTGTGAGGCAGGTCAGGAGGGACGTGCCAGGTGGTTTCTGCCCTAGGACGCTGGTCACGTTTTCGGAAGGGAACTTGCTGACCGCCTGGCGGCGTGTTTGCTGGCTAAAGACTGAAGCGACTTGTTTCTGCAGCCTCAGACCTTGCCGCTGATAACGCTGAGCTTGCTCAGCGGTCTCTGCTCTTCGCGGGCGTGTTTTCCTGCTGGCGCGGCTCTTTAGTGGCAGGGGTCGCCGTCGGGAGTCCTCCCGGCCGCACAGTCTGCTGTCCTGCTTCGCTCTGGCTGCGGGAGCGCGTGCTCCGTGGCCTCGTCCGGTCCCACCCTTCCCTCTGCGGGAGGAGGCTGTGGGGGCGCACGTACCCCCATCCGCCTGAAGGCCTGCACCCGCTCTGGCCGCAGATGGGTCCCCTCAGAAATGCAGGGTGCGGGGGCCGCGGGCGGCGTGCCCACACGGGTCCTCGGGAACATGCAGGGTTCTAGAAGGACAGGTGGGGTCCTGGGAGGCAGAGGGCACAGTGCGTGTGCCCTGCCGGTGCCACCTGGATGCTCACCGGGGGCGCGTCAGTGCATTAAGCTGAGCTTCTGCGAGGGAGGCTTTGAGCCTTAGTCGCGTTGTCTTCGGGACGGGGTTGGAGGGACCGCAGGTGGGGTCTGTGCGCAGCGATCGCCACAGTGCAGAAGTCCACTAACAGACAGGTGCTGGGCTTGGTCCTGCCCCACCTCCTGCAGGCGACCCGGGGCAGGCCCTGCGGAGGAGGGGAGGGGACACGTGTTTGGGGAGGAATGTTCCGGGCACTGGGAGGAGGCTGTGCAAAGACCCTGGGCAGGGAGCTGCCTGGCAGCTTCCAGGACCCGCACGGAGGCTGAGCCAGGCAGGGTGCCTGAAGGAAGAGGGTTTGAGTACCTCAGCCCTGGTGGGCAAGCTGGGGCGGAGCTGCTGTGGCGGCGGGAAGGCACGCCTTCCGTCGGTCACCTGACGGGAGCAGCGACCTGCTTGGCCCGCATCCCGGGTCGTCTGGTGTTTACGCCACATTTCTGACGTCTGGCAAACGTTCCTCTTCCAGTGTCTGTGGTGCAGCACGAATAAGGCGTGCTTGGACTACCCCGTGCGCAGGGTGCTGCCTCCCAGCTCGCTCTGTGCACTGAGCTCTGCGCGCTGGGGCGTCTGCTGGGGTAAGTGTCCCGAAGCCGGAGGCGGGGAGAGCGGCCCGGGAGGGAAGGGGCTCCATCTGGGGACTGTGTTGTAGACGCCGCGGTGTGCCCTGCGAGCCTGGAGCCCTGCCAGGCCGCACGGTCAGCGCCCGCCTTCCGCGTGCCCGCCGTGGCTACACAGGCGCGCTCTGGGGACGGTAGCCCTTCGTGAGGTCCCACAGAGAGCGGTCCTGGCCCAGGGAGCCCTTGGCGTTCTGAGCGTGAACTGCAGAGGTGTGCTTATTTTTTAGTTTTTATTTTTATTGTTTTTTGAGAGTAATTTTTTAAAATATTTATTGATTTGTTTATTTTTGAGAGAGAGAGCACGCGTGCATGTGAGTTAGGGAGGGGTGGAAAGAGGGAGACACAGAATGGGAAGCAGGCTCCCAGCTGGCAGCACAGAGCGTGACGCGGGCACTCAAGCCCACGAACCGCGAGATCATGACCTGAGCTGAAATTAGCCGTTGACACTTAACTGACTGAGCCCCCCCGGTGCCCCCAGCGTGTTTTAAAGTTGAAACCTAACTCCAGATGTTAACATGTTTAGTCTCTCTTCCTGCCCTTGCGTAACGTAAGCACACGTGCGTACACACGCACACAGCGAGATTCTACACGAGTGCGCAGGTAGTCCTCACTCGGCAAAGCACACGGGCCATCCCTGCGCTCGCGGCCTGCCCCTGTTGAGGCCCCGCGGGGGGGCCGCGCACTGACCTGCCGCCCCCGGGTGGGCGCCCCTGCCCACTCTTCACGTAAAGAAAGCGGGGGCTGGTTCGTCAGACCCCGTTCGGGGCCGTCACGTGTCCTGGTTGTCTGTCTCACGGCTGCTCGGCGCCATGTGTCCACTCTGCTGCCGGGTGATCCGCGGGCCCCCGTGCTGCCGCGGACATGCTCGTGGGCGGCACGCCACTCACTCCCGCTGGACATGTGCCGAGCAGCGGGCGGGGAGCCCCCGAGTCTCAAGAGGCGCTCCCCCCGGCAGCGCGGGGCGCCAGTTGCCCCACGTCCCTGCCAGCGCTTGGGGTCGTCACTTCTGTCCGTCTGCAGGCGTGAGGTGGCATCTCTTGTGGTTTTAGTTAGCTCCTCCCTCCTGACTAACGATGCTGACCACCTTTCAGGTGGGGGGGCACTTTTGGTCATTGTCCTGTGAAATGAAATTCCCGCCTTAGGGCCATGGGGCTGGCCGGGCCCGGGGCAGTGTGCGGTTGGTGGGGACTCACCTTGGGGGAAGGGGACAGGAACTAGCCATGGTTCCCCTGGGTCTCAAGAGAACATGGGTTAATGGGCCCTGAGGGCCGGCGGGGGGCGGGGACAGGAAGGCCTGCTACCTGCCTGTCGGGGATAAGCGAGACCCCTACAGAGGACTGTCCGTTACGCGTCTGACTTGGTTTCCGCTCAGGTCGAGATGTCACGTAGCTCGTGGGTTCAAGCCCCGCGCTGATGGCGTGGAGCCTGCTTGGGGTTCTGTCTCCCTCGCTCTCTGCCCTTCCCCCACTCACACTTTCTGTCTCAAAAATAAATTAAAAAAGAAACTAAAGTGGCTGAACAAACCACACATGCCAGTGTGTAAGGCTTGTGGCCCTCCTGTGTTGCATGTGAGGGTCTGTGCGGGCCCGAGTGGGGTCCGAAGGGCCCCAGGCACTGGGCATCGGCCTTCCTCAGCCACCTGCCAAGCCCTGCCCCAGCCACCAGGAAGCCAGCGAGACTTGAGGAGAGCAGCTCTGTGTGGCGCAGAACTTTCTAACGTCAGTGCCGGGAACACTTGACCGTCCAGGGCTGGGTTCGTCTTGAAGCCTCTCCCAGGGCTGACTCAACGGGGTGGGTGAAAACCCGAGTTCTCTGGTTTGAGTTACTGGCTGGTTTACGTTTATAAATCCTTAGGAGAAGTTAAAGGAATTGTGAACCTTGTTTTAACTACTTGTTTGCCTCAGAAGTTGGGTCCTGACCGGTGATGATAAAATCCTTACTGCCGACCAGGAGCCGTCTGGAAGCCCTGGGTGGTGGCAGGGTCCCTGTATGTGGGCCTGCGATGGGGGAGGGGGGGTTCCCTGCTCCCACCTGACCCCCGGCTCCCCGCCCCCCGCTGGGATTTACAGTGAACTTCGAGGCACTGATCATCACCATGTCGGTGGTGGGGGGAGCCGTGCTGCTGGCCGTGGCCGTGTGCTGCTGCGCCTGCTGCTGCCGCAGGAAGAGGAGCCGGAAGCCGGATAAGGAGGAGGAGAAGGCCGCGCGGGAGCGTGAGGAGCGCAGGGTCCGCCAGGAGGAGAGGTGAACTCCCCGTTCGCTCCGGGAATCCAGCCCGCGTGCCCATGGGAAGCGACTCTTGCCATGGGTTGGGGGACAGGGCAAGGCAGGCGGGTCACCTGTCCCTGTCCGTGGAACAGGGTTGTGGCCCAGAGAGGTGCTGCCCCATCAGGCCAGCCGCCGCTGGGGGCCGAGGCCCGCCGGGTTTCTGCGCCGTCCCTGCAACCCGTGCGCCCCCAGGTCAGAACTGACGTTTGCACGTCCCGGCCTCCCTCAGAACCTGACGTGAGATTTTTCTTCACGTAAAAAGTGTTTTTAAAAATCATAGTCTCAGGCATTTGAATTTCTTCTGTTGAAACAAAGAATCAAAGGACGTGGCACAGAAGCAGGGTCCCCCTGCCTGGCGGCCAAGCTTGTCCCCACCCTGGTCTCTTCCTGGGAAATGAGGACAGGCTCCCAGCCTCTGTGCTGAAGGTACGTCATTTAACCTCACGTTATGTTCTGGTGCTAAATGAGATTTCTTTGTGTTTTTAGGAGAGCAGAGATGAAATCAAGACACGATGAAATCAGAAAAAAATACGGTAAGGATCGACCGTACGCGCGTCTCTTTTGGTTGGGAGTGGATCCCGGGCCGTGAGCGCCGCCTCCGGGGGGAGCGGCTGGTCCTAGTCCCCGTGGACCGAAGGCGCTAACTCCGTGCCGTGTCTGGAAAGATGAAGCCTTAGGCCGTTTTCTCTCAGCCGGATTCCTGACGCTGTTCGCCCATGGGGTGGAACCGGAGGGGCCCGCACGGCCTCCCGCGCCCTGGTGCCGCCAGGGCTCCCGCAGCCGACGGCGGCGCGCCTTTGGGGGAGTTGGCCGGGGCTCTCCGTGCCGCTCGGGTGGCCGTCTGGTTTCGGTTCTGGTTCGGAGGGATTTTGGGGGGAGACCAGGGTTTTGGTCTGTGAGAGCATTCACTCTGCCCCCGGGTCGAGTTGGCGCTCTGCTGATCGTCACACCTGCGGCTGCCATCCGCCTTCCCCGCTCTTGTTCAGGGCCGGTGGGGTGGCCGGAAGTGGCCGCACTGGGCCACGGGCGCTCTAGCTCTGGGCCACGGTGCTTCCGTGCCTGTTAGGTGCACCGGGCAGCGGGGCTCGAGGAGGAATCTGATCAGGAAAATTAAAAAATTTTTTTTCCTTTTTTTTTTTTTTTGAAAGTTTGTTTTGAGAGAGAGAGAAAATATTAAGTCGGCTCTGCACTGTCAGCACAGAGCCCAACGTGGGGCTCGAACCCACCGTCCTGAGATCATGACCTGAGCTGAAATCCAGTCGATGCTTAACCATCCGAGCCACCCAGGTGCCCCTCAAAATCTTCCTAACGTCCTCATTTTGAAGTTCTGTGTCTGTGCAGGGGACGCCGTGTTTCCTGGTATCCTAAGGTCCTGTGCGCTCAGACAGTCCGAAGCCTCAGCCCCCTCTGCTGGGGATGCTGGCTGTGCAGCTGACACAGCACCCCAGCACCCCCAGAGACCCAGCACCCTCAGCTCTCCCACCCAGCACCCCAGCGCCCCCACCCAGCTCCATGTGGGTGACATTCTGTCCTGCGATAGTGTTGGCACAGTGCCCTCTGCCAGGCGCAGGCTCGTGCCCAGGGAGCGCCCGCTGTCCTTGGCGTGGGCTCCTTGTTTCACAATACTGAAGTGCTGCAAGGAGCTTGCTGGCATCTGACTGATGTTAACGCAGAAGGCGAGAGCTGTGTAGGTGTGTGCACTCACGCAGACTCACGCCATGGTGCTGGGTTGCAGCACACAGGAGCTCTCAAAGTCTGCCCCTCTGCAGTGTGCCACCTGGCCGCCGTGCACGAGGCTCCCGGCGCAGGGGCGTTCCCCGTGACCCCGACCCCAGGCCCATGGCGCCTTGTTTCGGTGGTGAGCTAGGCCCTGAATTGCACTCTGGAAGCCAGCTTGTGCCTGTTTCTAGAAAGCCCATCGAACGGACCGGATACAGCCGGGTGGAAGAATTCCCGGGCGCCCCCAGTGGGGGGCGGGACAGGCTCGCGCACCGGCCCGGGGAACACCCTTCTCTTGGTTTCAGAAGGCGCCCGGTTTCCAGTCACCACACAGCCTTTCCCCTTCAAACCAGGAGGGGAGCTGGGGGCTGCTCTGTTGGGCCTGTGTGTGTGGCCTCTGAGCGCCCATTACCTGAAGCACCTGGGCTTCCTCCCGAGGCCCCGGCACGCCGTCCCCCTCGGCCGGGCAGCCCTCCTGCCCCCGCCGCGTTCACCTGCAGCACGTACACCCGGTGTGGTGGCTCCAGAAAAGCGTGGGTGACACGGGTTTTAAAGTGTGGGAGAGGCTGTGCTCTGCTGCAGAGGAAACTCCTAGTCCTGGGCGTTTAGCCTCAAACACTTACGTTATGACTTAAGTACGTTGTGTTGGCCACGTCAGCGCACTCGGTGGTGGCGAGGCCGACGGTCACCTCGGCTCGTAGCCCTGATTCTAAGGACACTTAAAGTAAGGTGGTTTTGTTAATTTCTGCATAATATTAACCAGCTACTGTGGGGAGAAATAGTGGCTTGAGGTTTCTTAATTTCTCTTTGAGAGAATGAGCAAACAAGTCTTTATTTCTTCAGGTCTGTTTTTCTTAGAATGATTTTTTTCTGGTAAATTTTATTTCAATTTTAAAGTCACCTGTGGTTTGACTTTCAAAGAGGTGAAGTGTAGGGGCGCCCGAGGGGCTCAGTAGGTGAAGCATCTGGCCCTTGATCTCAGGTCATGATCTCACAGTTAGTGGGATCGACCCCCTTGGGATTCTCCCTCCCAAAATAAATAAATTTCTAAAAGTAGTTTAAAAAGAAAAAAAAAGGTGAAGCGTTGTGCTGAACGTGCTCCGAGCGCTGTGTTCCTTGGGGCCCAGCGCGTGTTCACGAGCAAGGACTTGCCCCACGTCCCTGGACTTGGTGTCCCGCTGCGTGAGCCCACTCGTAAGCGGCTCTGTGTCGTTCCAGGTCTGTTTAAAGAGGAAAACCCGTACGCCAGGTTCGAGAACAACTGAGCCGTGCAGCCATCGTGCCCAGCAGTCCCCGAGCAGCACGGGAAGCCGCCGGGGGACCACGGCGCCGTCCCGCAGGCCCGCGAGCTTCCGTTCCTCTTCTCTATCTGTATTTAGTCACCGGAGACACGAAGCCCGTCGGGGTCGGTTTTGCTTGTGTTGTTCCTTCCAGGAGGCAGAGCCCATGCCTCACAGCCCCGCTCCGCTGGGGAGTCCAGTGCAGGCGGGCGGTCTACACCGCTGGCCCCGGCGTCCATCCCGCCTTCTGTCCCCACAGCGCGCGCCTGGTGTCCCTGTGCCCAACAGCGGGCTGCACGCAGCGGGGGCGAAGGGCCCCATCACCGCCGCCCCCGTAACCCGGCCCGCGGCCCTGTGCCATGCGTGGCAGCCTCCCGGGGAGCCAGGCACCCGCACGCGGTGTGCGGGGACGGGCCTCCTGCCCCCGCTGCTCTGAGCGGCATCGAAGCGCACTTAGACTCGCCTTAAGTCTGTTTTGTTTTCTTCTATTCCGTTTCAAGTAAGTTTTGGAGTTCATTCTTCCACCAAAGGGGTTTCCCCCCAAAATTTTAATGTCAAAGTTCGGACCACTTATTGGACAATTTTTTTATTTTGATTTGTATTTTTACCAGAACATCAAGATTTTTTTCAATGAGAACTTGAGTAATAAATGAAGCTTTAGAGCAGCCTGCAAGGGCAGCCGGGGCCCCGGGGGGCCGTCACCGTCTCTCGCTTCTCAACCCTGTTGACAGCAGGTGTCGGGTCCTGTGTGCAGTCACACCAGGCTGTCCCTAGTCAGGCCATCTGCGCCGTGGTCACGGCGGGGGTGGGGGGACACGGGCCCCCAGGCTGTCCCCGAGGAGGGAGGCCACGCCCTGCAGGCCCCTCTGTGGGGCTCTGCCCACCGGGGAGGCAGGGCGTCCGGTGCCAGCGAGAGGGGTTCCCTCGTACTACACAGAGAGCCTGCTGACTGTCCTTGTCACTCGACCCCCAGCTTGGAGCCACACTGCTCTGGTTGGGACGTTGTCCGCGGCCTCCAGGCCACCCGCCGGGCCTTCCATTTTGGCTCCAGGCCTTTCAGAGCAACATCTGTGGCTTCAGTAAATGACCGTGTCCTTCCTGGCAGGGACAGTGGACCGCGGGGTAACCGTGAGAGCAGCCTCTCTTACTCTGAAAATAGTCCCGGTTGCCACACTGCTTTGGATGAGGAAGACTTAGCTTTGGGAACGTGAGTCAACAGGTACATAAAACAAGAGATGGATTTCCCTTTCGCACTTGTGACCGTGCTGTTGGGGACTGCTCTCCAGCGTGTCACAGGAAGTTCTCATACAGGTCAGCGTGACCCAACACGACCACAGCGCTTGACACCCCCCCGCCCCCCAGCCACGTTGACCCGTGCTGTGAGGTGACAACACAGTCCTGGAAGGGCCACAAGCTGAGACACTAACTACACACTCTTGAGTGTTATCTTCCTGACTTCTTGGGCATTTGATAGCGTTTTTGAAGTATTATGAAACATTCCTAAGCATTTTGTAGCCGCCTGAAGATTTTGACTTTCTACTGTTTATTCATAAAAGAATCTTTGTAGCAGACTTCGGCCTCCGTGTTAGTACAGTCACGTCCGTGACGGTGTGGGCTGTGCCTTGTTCCTGCGGCGCATTGAGTCCCTTCGGGGTACTGAGCCCACCCCAGGGTGTCTGGGAGGCTGTCCGGTCCTCGTGCTTTATAAATAGTCCTAGGAGCCGCCATGTATCATAGCCTCAAGGAGACCGTGACCTTCAGAGTGCCTTAATTGTAACCAGTTTCCAATAAGTGATTTAATACACGCTTTGTTGAGTCCGCTGTGTCCTCGAGTCTCATTTCTCCGTGGCGTTAGGGGGATGATCTGGGAGGCGGCGCGTAGACGCTACAGAGAGATGGTGACGGGTCCCAGGGTGTGTGAGCAGCCCGGGTTCAGTGTCACGGCCACGTCCTCAAGTTGTCCTCCCCCCTCCCCTGCTGGCTGCCCCCCCCCCCGCTGTCTGCTTGTCCAGAGAGCCCCACTACCCCCACCCCACAGCGCCTTCTGCTCCCCTGGAATCCGATAGAACTCTGGGAAAGCAGTTCTGGCTTTGAGCTTCGTGTACTTGGCTCGACTGTTGGTAGACTCCCTCCCCCGGGGCGGGGCCTCCGTGCCCGGCTCCTGGGGAGCGCCCACCCCCTTCTGAGGGGCTGCAAGGTGGCTGAGTCTCTGGGACGTCCTCTGTGCTGCAGGTCCGTGTTCCAGGGCCGTGGTCCCCACGGGAAGAGCGAGCCTGCCCCTGTGGCCGTCCTCAACCACAGGGCGACTCCAGGCTCTTCTGGGAAGCCTAGAATGGGGGAGTGTGAGGTGGAGATGCAGTCACGGGTGTCCCCCTGCCTGCCAGGTCCCTAGGCGTCCAGTCCAAGTGGGAAACTCCCTGGGCTTGCACTCGTCGGAGGTTCGAAGAGGCGCCTGGGGGGCTCAGTCGGTTAAGCATCCGACTTTGGCTCTCAGGTCATGATCTCATGGTCTGTGGGTTCGAGCCCTGTGTCGGGCTCTGTGTTAACAGTTTGGAGCCTGGAGCTGCTTCAGATTCTGTGTCTCCCTCTCTCTCTGACCCTCCCCTGCTCGTGCTTTTTGTCTCTTTCTCAAAAATTAACGTTAAAAATTTTTTCCTTAAAATAAGAAATAAAAAACCCCCACAATCGGATGGGCAAAATCCCATTCCCAACACTAGCCCTTCCGGAGCCAGTCGCGTCGCGGGGTTCCTGGCCGCGCCGGGGCCCCGCCTCCCCAGGGGCCTCGCCCGCCTCCGGTTGGGAGGCGCTGGTCCCCACTCCTGTCTGGGCGGCCTTGTGTGAGCGGTGGGTCCGGTTCCAGAAGTAGGATTCTGGGTCCCCGCGTCCGCGGCGCTAACTGAAGTGTTGGTAGGACCTGAGCTGCCCTCCTGACAGCACCCCCGCTCCAGGCAGGGTGACGTCTCGCAGGCGGGAAGGAGGGAAGGGATTCGGCCCAGTCCTCACGGAGCGGACGGCTGTCGGGCCGCGTGCCTGTGCGTGCGGTGCGGGCGGGGGGGGGGGGGCTCACTGAGCACAGGCCGCTGGTGCGCTGGCGTGGGCGAGGCTGCTGGGTCGGGCCCGCTGCCACAGGGGGTGTGGGCTCCCTGCCCCCCTCCGCCCATCCCCCATCCACACCCCCTTCCTGGCACACCTGCTCCAGCGCCCTCCGGACTGCCCTGCGTGTGGGTCGCTGACCCTGGTGACTGCACCGGTCAGGCCGTGGCTGATTCGGTAGCGGTTCTTGGCGCCTAACCCCACCCCCACCCCCGCCCGGGACAGGCAGGTGCCGGCGAGGCCCTGGACTTCCAGACAGACCATCGGTGGCCAGTCCTCGGCCCATACCTGCATGTCTCACGGTCGTCGCTGCCACCGGAGAGCTGACTCTGGCCACGGGTTCACTTCAAGGGCCAAGGGATGTGGCAGGAGCCACAGCTTTGGGGCGTGGAGCCCTTACAGGGTCCCCTGGTACAAAGGTGTCTGGCCAGGCCTGCCGGGCGCAGGCGGCACAGACTCCCACGTGGGTTGCTGGGAGTGGGTGAGGGCACAGTCTTGCCACGCCCCATCCCAGTCCCATGTATTCTACGGGGGACACAGCCCCCCAGAATGGCAGCGTGTCTGGTGCCTTGGGGTCCAGAGACATTTCCGCGCCAGCAGGGCTTTCCTCCCGCAGGGCTGTGCCTCCAGCCGGCCTGGGGGAGGGGGCATGACGCCGCCACCTCTCCTCCATGCCACTGGCGGGAGCTGGTCAGTGAGTGCACGGGCCTGGGCATGCCCCCCCCAACTGGGCCCACATCTGGCACGTCTGGGGTCAGGAGCTGCGTTCACACCAGCCGATTCCATCTCGACACCTCTGCCCCTTCTCCTTGGAGCCAGGGGGAGGCTCCAGGGTGGTCCCTCCCCCGCACAGAGCAGACGCCGACCCCACGGGGAGCGCCAGGGCCGCCGGTGCGGCCACGTGTGCTTGATCTGATGGGTGTTCTGCCTGCAGAGCTGAAGGATGATATTTAATTCGGTTTCGGACCAGCTGTCTCCTTGTAAGCCCTAAAAACTAAGAATAATTCCTCCCTACAGGTGAGTCACACTAAATGCGGTACACATAGCATTCTTTTTCAATGTTTTATTTATTTTTGAGAAAGTGCGAGCAGGGTGGGGCAGAGAGGGGGACAGAGGATCAAGCGGGCTCCGCGCTGAGAGGAGCGAGCCCGACGCGGGGCTCGAACCCGGGAACAGCGAGATCATGACCTGAGCCAAAGCCGCACACACAGCCGACTGAGCCACCCAGGCGCCCCTGTGCAAGTAACATTCTTTACTCCTTTCACAGATTCTAGGTCCCGCTAAGCTGGGGAGTTTTCTCGGAGCCTGCGCGCTGGGATGGGGTTTTGCAGGCGCTTGGGGTGAGGCTGGGGTGCTGGCCAGGCTGGACGCGTCACGTGTATTGAACTTTTCCCAGAGGACGTTGAGTCCCAGCTGCCTCGCCCGCCCAGGACGCGGTGGCGAGCGCCGTCCCTGCCGCAGCGCCCGGCCGCTTGGAGGATTCGTGCTCCCTTATTTCAGAGCCCCTCTGGGGTCCCCAGTCTCCCGCCTCCAACCCTCTCTTGGAACTTAATCTACGTCCTTAAGTTTATACGTATTTGTTCCTCTCGTTCTACTTATCGGTGACCCATGTTTGGCAAAATTAGATCACGGAGTATCTCATACAGGGCAGAGCTCTGGAATTTTCTGTATCCCTAATAACAGATTTGCCGTTTTTCTCATTTTCAGCAGTTTTACCGAATCATGAGGGCTACCTCAGAGGATCTTAGACACTCCACATTTAGAGGGCAGGGGTGGGGGAGGGGTGCTGCCAGCCAGGGGCCCAGTGGCAACAGGGACACGGGACATAATCTGAAGAGCAGTTATTTCAGCATAAAGTGTAGTTGACTCAGTATAAAGGGTACTTAACTCAGTATAAAGAATTATTATTATTTTTTTTAATGTTTTATTTATTTCTAGGAGAGAGAGAGAGACAGCGTGAGCAGGGGAGGGTCAGAGAGAGAGGGAGACACAGACTCTGAAACAGCCTCCAGGCTCTGAGCTGGCAGTCAGCACAGGGCCCGACGCGGGGCTCGAACCCACGAACCGCGAGATCATGACCCAAGCGAAAGTCAGACGCTTAACCGACTAAGCCACCCAGGCGCCCCAGTATAAAGAATTATTAATTAGACATAAGGAACAGTTGACTTGGTATAAAGAACAGTTAACGCGGTATAAAGAACTGTTAGGTAGGCATAAAGAGTAGTAGACTCTATAGAAAGACTAGTTCAGGGGCTCCTAGGTGACTCAGTCAGTTGTGTCCGACTTCGGCTCAGGTCATGATCTCACAGTTTGTGGGTTCGAGCCCCGCGTCGGGCTCTGTGCTGACAGCTCAGAGCCTGGAGCTGCTTCTGATTCTGTGTCTCCCGCTCTCTCTGACCCTCCCCTGCTCACGCTGTCTCTCTCTCACTCTCTCTCTCTCTCTCTCTCTCAGAAATAAATAAAGCATTAAAGAAGAAAGAATAGCTTACCTAGTATAAAGGGTTACAGTTAACCGGGCATAACGAATAGTTAACTAGGCATAAAGAATCATTAACCCGGGATAAAGGAGAGTTACGGGAGCGTTGAGAACAGCGCACAGAGGGGCAGCTGCAGGGGAGCCGGCCCCTCACCCCTTACCCAACTTCAGGGTGCAGTGTGAGGTTGGGTGGCTTGCTCAAGAGACCTGTGCCCGTCCCCAAGAAAGCTCCCAGGGTGCCCCTCTCCTGTGTGACTGCCCCCAGGACGCAGGCCCAGGGAGGAGGGGCGGCAGGGGCGGCGAGGCCCCTGTGCTCTGATGGCGCAGTGCCCTTGGGCTCAGGATGGGGGGCGGGCAGGCCTGGCACTGTGGTGGGGGCGGCTGGTGGCCGGTGCCCTCCTCCTTTCCGGACAGTCTCTCACAGGCCAGCAGTGACCCCGACTCCGCATCCCTCCACCGCTGCACCTCTGCCTGACCCCGTGTCCCTCCGCCTCTCCCCACGGCCAGCCCCAGCCAGCCCCTGCCCCCGCCCCGCTCTTCCCACCCGCCCCTGCTGTGCACGGAGCCCTGGGGCATCCGTTGCTGCTCCAGGCCGCATCTCTGCGCTCTCTGCTGCCACTCCTGCCCTGCGGCCTCTTATCCACCCTGGGCTGGGGAGCACCTTCAGACCGCAGACCCGATGGGGGGACCACTCGAACCCCCCACAGCTCCCTCCACACCGAGAATAAGGCTCGAGGTCTTAGGAGGGCGGAGAAGACCCTTGGTGCCCTCCGTCTGCATGTCCCCACTCTCCAGCACCCCGACTTCCCTGGTGCCTGTAACACACTCGCTCGGTCTCAGCCCTTGGCTCCCTGGAGCACCTTAAGCACCTTCCCAGGCATCCTGGCCGCTCCCACCCACCTCCCCTCCCTCCATTCAGCTGTGTATGCTTTCTCCAGCCGCCTGCCTGAAGAACTGTCTGTGCTGTAATCTGTCCCCTGACTCAGAGCTACGCTTCTGTTCTTTTGGCTCCTAATGCAGCAGGGTTTACCTAGAGCAGTGGGACCATGGAGCATCTCTCTACACACCCATCCATCCACCCATGATCTACCCCCTGCTACTTCCCGTCTGTTCCTTCATCACCCCATCCATCTACCAGTCCAGTCCACCCATCCATCCATCCGTCCGTCCATCCATCCATCCATCCACTCATCCATCCATCCACTCATCCATCCATCCGTCCGCTCACCCATCCATTCGTCCATCCACTCACCC